AGATTATGCACAGGAGTGATATCAGCCTATAGCTTTCCGGATTGTCAGTTAGCTTGCCCAGTTTGAGTACAGTAATGAATGACTTAAAACTTTTGTGACTGCACGAATTCATATTCTTGGTTCTTTCGGTAAAGTCACGTAGATATCAAGTTATTTTTTTTTCATTTATTAGGTATAGCCCTGTGAGCCATGCGGCATTTGAGTCGGGTGCAACCGCAACAAACAAAATATGAACAGAGAACATCTTAAAGCAATGACGCGCAACAGAAACATCCTGGATAAACCAGCAAATCTTCCAGAAAAAAAACCCACCATATTACAAGGCTGTGTGCAAAAATCCCAGTGTGATGCAAGTCAAATAATAACAACCATAAGACAATTTAGATTAAAGTCATCAGGCCAACTCCGCACTTCCGCAAGAAACATGGCTTAACCATATGTTTTCGAAATCACCAAAATAAAGCTATAAAAACAATGTAACAACAGTAATCATAGGAACTGTGATTCAAATGTAACAATAAACGATATACATAACATGTACGATCAAACTTGCAGTCATAGCTGGCAGCATGACACTCCCAGTGTATGATGAGTGAATGGGTCAGTGGTTGTGTGAGTGTATGATGTGTGAGTGAGTCAGTGTATGATGTGTGAATGAGTCAGTGTAAGATGAATGAGTGTATCACGGCATCCTCCCCACCATCACGGCCTCCTCCCCGCCATCACGGCCTCCTCTATGCCATCACGGCCTTCTCCATGCCATCACGGCCTCCTCTCCGCCATCACGGCCTCCTCCCCGCCATCACGGCCTCCACGCCATCACGGCCTCCTTTTTCCTCCTGATGACGATTGCTTGTGTTGTGATCGAAACGTCGTAAGTTTTATTTTTATTTTATTTACTTTAATTTTTTCTATTTTTTATATCTACAGTTTTCATGGTGTTTGTGTACAGTTGTATCAGAAATTGGAGTCCCATAGGAGCTAAGTGATGGAGGAATTCTAGAGGGATACCGTCTCTGATGGTAACTCTCACTGAACAAAGTGGGCCGCGTGAAGGCTTCCATCTTCATACAAACACATGCGTACAAGTAAGGCTTTGCCCATGAACCAGACCAGTAATCGTTTCCAGGGTAAGTTTATGAGGAAGAGGTGGGCGTACCTACACTTTACCCCACCACACGCGGTATCTGATGGTTGAACAACTGTGGGGGCCCCCATTTATTCTGCTGGGTGAACAGAGCGGGGCATTAGGGACACTTGCCCTATTATTTAAACTGGCTTCCCAGCCAGGAGATTGGCTTAAACCGGTTACCTCCACACTGAAAAGTCAATGCGGTAACTGGCACCACGGTAGCCCCTATGTTTCTGAGCTAAAAGTTATTCCGCTTAATGCGAGGCATTGGCAAATGTAAGGAAATCCCTTAACCGGTTAGGACCAGTTTTTCCTCAGTTACTGTGAATGCAAATTACATCTATTTTACCCCCCCTCTCTCCATTCACTCTCTCCCTCCATACACCTCCTCTTTCTCCATATACCCCTCTCTCTGCATAAACCTTTTTACAAGAGCAGTTTCATATATGCCTTGCCTGGCTAATAAGGGCCACGATTTTACAAACTTCGTCTATGCCCAAGCAAAAATGGCAGTTTACAAGACCAGGAAAAAGATGCTTCAAGGCGACACTGACGGCTGCTCTGCGGTGTCAATGTTCAGGGGCCTGCTTAAGGCACGGCTCCAGCTGGAGCACGCGTACCACGTCAATGCTGGCGACGCAGGCTTGGGCATGTGCTCAGAAAATTAATTTGGTAAATGACTGGCTAGAATACAGGATTTTAAGGAATAGATGCGTAAAAAAAATACGGCATGCAAAAAATGCCTATTTTTCCTCCACTCTCCTGGAATCACATGGAAATGCCAGGATTTTTTGGAAAACAATCAAATCTATCGAAAAGGCATCCAAAACAGAAAATCTGCCCGTTGAGCATCACCGAAATGGGGAATATTTTTCAGATCCCAAAAAAATAGTTGACAATTTTAACCTTCATTTTTCTGAAGCTGGTAATCTTTTTGATAATGTATTGGGAGTCACCCCTGCTCCTGCAAATTCCTACATCCCTGTCCAAACATTAAACTAATTTAGTTTCCAACCAATCCACGAAAGTAATGTTCTGAAACAACTGTCCTACCTCAAAGGGTCCTCCTCTACCGGAGCAGATAGTTTTCCCGTCTTTGCTCTACCAACTGTTGGTCACCTAATATACAAACCTATAGCCCATATTTTCAACCTGTCCATCAAAGAAGCATCAGTTCCTCTAGAATGGAAACATTCCTATGTCCGTCCACTTCACAAAGGGGGCCCAAAGATGATCCCAATAACTACCGACCTATCTCAATTTTGTCCCCATTGATGAAAATTTTTGAAAAATTATTGAACTACCAAATTAGCAGTTTCCTGTCCACCAACAATCTACTACATCTAAAACAATCTGTGTTCCGGAAAAAATACAGCACCACATCTGCTGCATTAGACTCTTTGAATCAAATTTACAATAGCCTTGATAATAAGCAGTACTGTGCCTGTCTTTTACTTGACCTGTCCAAAGCTTTTGATACAGTAGACCACAACACCCTGCTTAGTAAACTAAGTTGCCTTGGTTTTTCCGAGAACACAGTACAATGGTTAAAAAATACCTCTTTTCTCGCACCCAAACTGTATTCACAGATGGTTGGAGGTCAAACAGTGTTAAGATAACAAAAGGGGTTCCACAGGGTTCCATCCTCGGACCCCTCTTGTTCTCTCTTTATGTCAATGACTTGAGCACTGAACTGGATCATTCCAGGGTAAATCTTTTTGCAGATGACACGATACTGATTACTGCTGGCCGCTCTCCGGATGACGTGATTGCTAAGCTCCAGGGTGATTCAACAAACTACAACATCAGCTAGTTTATCTTAAACTAGTCCTGAATACCTCCAAAACCAAGGTGCTATGCTTCTCTCCGGGACTAAAGCAGGAAGTTATTTTTCCCCAATTACATTCCTTGAATAATTATCAAATAGAGCAAGTCAAGATCTATAAGTATCTTGGGGTCATCCTGGATTCAAAACTTAGTTTTGAAGATCACATTGATTATATTGGTTAAAAGACAAAAATAAAAATTGGTTTTCTGTATTGACACAAGCACTGCTTCCCCCCAATGTTTCGTTTGGAATTGCTAAAAGCTACCATACTGCCTCTACTTGACTACTGTGACGTGTATAAATCAGCCCCAAGTACTGTACTGAAGAAGCTTGATTCCATCTATCACTCGGCCTTAAGATTTGCATTGAACTGCCCATATAGGACTCACCACTGTGATCTCTACATTGGGTCAAACTTAACAGCTCTTAATGTTCGACGGCTTGTGCACCAGATCTTATTTATTCACGATGTACTTACAAAAAATTCCGCAGACTACCTACTGGATCTCCTCTCTGTTTCAAAGAACAAATTTGACCTCAAGTCTTCGCTCATTTACCAGCTTCACATTCCCTATTGCCGTACAAAAACTGGAGGAAGGGCCTTTGCTATTGATGCCCCCAGGGTCTGGAATGCTATTGCCAATAAACTGCAACTTGAATCACTACCTATGAGATCTTCACTCAAAACTGCTCTAGAGGAGTTGTACAACCCTAGCTGCCACTGCTATTCAGTGGCCAAAATATGGCTCTAGATTTTGGTGTTATCATTTATTTATGTAGTTTATTGTAAAAAAATTCGGTCACAGTCCCTATGATCACTGTTACATTGGATTTATGGCTTTTATTTTGGTGATTTCGAAAAGTTTTTTTGTTTTGGCCATGTTTTTGTTTATTGTAGTACGGAGTTAGACTGATGGCCTTAATCTTAGTTGTCTTGTGGTTGTTGTTGTTATTTGACTTGCATCCCACTGGGATTTTTGCACACAGCGTTGGTGTTTCGGTGCTATTTCAGGAATTTTTTGATATTTTTTTCCTGTATTTTCTGTTTGCACAGTCACATAATCACTTTAAGATGTTTTCTTGTTCATGTTTTTTGTTTGTTGCGGTTGCACCCGATTCAAGAGCCGAATGGCTCACAGGGCTATACCAAATAAATGAACTATGTTCTTTGAACGGTGGAGGGCCGGTCAAGCCCTCTGCGCCAGTGCAAACCGCATTCTGCATTTAATGGCGTGCGTAATGACGTGTTGTTTGTGTTGCGCCTGTAGCGCATGTGCTGCGGGTAGTGTTTGGTGACGTGATGCTGTATTCGGTGACTTTTATCGAAATGCGCTCCATCGCCTTTGCTGCTTGCAGCAATAAAGTGGTTTGAAAGTCAAACACCTCTCTTACTCTCTCCATACACCCACTGGCAGTGCCAGTGGGGGTGGGGTGAGGCACGTGCCCCCCCAATGATCCGATCGAAATCCCTAATTTCGATCGGATCATTGGGGTTTATTTGTAATAAAACGGCATTTTGCGACCCCCCACTGCCACTGTGTAGCATATTATTACGTGCCAGCGACTCTATGATATGACAGAGCAATAGTCTGAGTCCATAATTGGCAATAAGCAACGGAAAAGCAGTTATAAGTGACTCAGAATTGTGCGCAGTTGCGTATACAGTACACGACTTCCCTGAAGGCATTCACCTTCAGCGAGTGCGATGCCGATCACACACGTCGAATAAAAAGCAAGGGACAAGTCATCACTTACTAACAACTATGATTTTCCATTGCTGGAGGGATTGCCCCACTTACCTGAAAATCCTGGCTCCGCCATTGCATACACCCCTCTCTCCATACACCCCTCTCTCTCGCTCCAAACACCACCCCTCTCTCTCCATACATTCCTCTCTCTCCATACATTCCTCTCTCTCTCCATAGACCCCCCCCCCATCTCTCTCCATTTACCCCTCTTTCTCGTTGGTACACTCATCTCTAACACCCCTCCTCCACCCCCACACTCTCTCGCCCTCTCACCATCCTCTCTCCGTTGCAGCTGCAGGAAACAGAGGGAGCAGCACAGCGAGCAGCACGAGCCTCAACAGCAGCAGCAGCGGGAGCGTCTCCATTGCCCGTATGTGCCGTGTGTGCCTCCGATCATCCATCCTGGGTTTAACCACAAGGCTAGATAGATCACAGTGCGACGGGCTGGAAAAGAGATGGGCTGATGTATAAATAACCTCCTGCCTGCGAGGCTTCGACACTTCACGTTGCCTCAGAGTTCACCTAGCCTGGCACCAGCGCGTTGTGATGTCACCGCCACTTCGTGGGGAATAGCGGCTGTTGTCATTCAAATTTGTATTTGTCTATTATTTGGGTCTTTCGTTGTCTAGGGTATATTTTAATAATGAAAGTAACCCATTGAAATCTGATTCGTTTGATATCCTCACATGCAACGGAATGGTTGAACCCACTGGTAAACCACACACGTGGTAAACATTACCTTAATGCAAGAAAGTCTTTACTAAGAGACATTAATATGCAACCAGTGTTCGGTACAACTTATAATTATATTGTTACGAATGTTATTGGCATAGTTATCAAAAAGCAGATCAAAGAGGCAATGCTCTGTATGTGAAAGCAATGAATATAAAACTATCCGACATCAAAAGCAGTAAATGTGTATGCACAACTGGAACTTGCTGACCCGCCCCTACTGGACATCTGTGAAAAATTGCTTCATAGCCCGACGGATTCCTCCTATCTAAATTAAAGATTCAGAAAATTAGTAAGGACCTGATACCACACACTCGAAGTATAGTTGTGATACTTTAGTGATTAATTGGACTTTGAGCAATAGTCTAGTATTCTTAGTTTGCAGTTTATTAATAAGCGCTTCTCTCGGCTGTAGGAGTCTGTGCACGGTGCATCTTCCAGTGCAGTGCAGATCGATGTCGACAGCGCGATGGTGCATTGACACAGCCACACACCAGCAGTGGGGACATGAACGACGGACCCGCCATGACGATGACGCGGGTAAATAATGACAGCACCTCCGATTAGCATGGTTGGCTACGTATGGTGCGAAAGAAGTTGAACAAGCATACATACGACAGCACAGCAGCTGTGCTCTCAATGCTCAACTCTGACGATGTGCAGACACGATCTCCTCGTGGGTATAGACAGCACAGCTCTCTCTCCCCGTCAGGCGACAGCTTGACATAAATTTTCACCGTGATAATCGTCCACGAACTTGTAGTTATAAAGTCACTCTAGAGCTCGTGTTGGTTACTGCTTGCCACTTGATGTCGGTGTTCTTTGTGGATCTTCTCCTTGAGTCGTACTTATCTCCACTTAGTCACCAACGACTCTTTACATGTGTAGTAGTCACTCCAGAGACACTAATAGTAGCAGGCACACACGTTTATTATATATTTAGTACAGGGGATAACTACACACGGGTCAGGACAGCCAGCATACTGCCTGACCCACAATGCCGAGGAGGTGAAGACGGGGACGAAGACTTGCGTAGACGACGGGTTCCATTCCAAACGACAGCCCCGACCCAGTGTCGGGACCTCCCTTTAATCCTCCCCAGCGTGGCCTGGCTCCGCCCTCGGCCACGCCCCCTTATAGAACCTACCAGAAGGTTCTGGGCTTTGCCCCACGTGTCCCCTCTGTCACCTTTACCCTACATCCCTTACCCCGGCATATCACGTGCCCTGCTGGCAGACTGGTTTCTGTGTCCTCAGATCCCCCCTCTCTGCCAGCAACCGGCGCTACGCGCTCCAGTGGCACATTTTACCTGCCCTGTTGGTAGACCGGGCTACTACACCCACAATCACACTCTCTACCAGTTCCCAGCACTACGGGCCCTAGTCACCCATTCTATGTCACTACACATGTTCACTCTTCAACAACGGAAAATCTACAGATCTGCGTTATATATTGTTTCAGCTTCTCAACTCCTGAAAACCCCTCTATAGCTTACTGCTTTGAACTTACTACAGCTGTGTTACAGCTTCTCTTCTGCTTATCCACTGCTTTCCACTACACGTCCAGTGGTGGCTCTGTCTTGACCGCATACGGTCGGATCTCGTGATGGAGCGACCTTCCAAGTGTACGAGCTGTTGCACTCGGCAAATATGGACCACGAAGAGCCACAGCCACTGCTGATCTGCCCACAGTTCAGTGGTGGTATGCGTGGATATACTAAAATCATGAACTGAGCAATGTATACCAAATATTTATTTAATTTATGGGATTATGCCTATAAGAAAGAGCTGCCTCGGTTTCCAATAAATGAAAACTTTCTTAGTTATGTCGAAGCCTTCCTTTTCGGAGGTAGATTGTGTTTCGTTTATATTAACAAAGCTGCAAGCAATTCATTGTATGGTCGGAAAAGGGGGGAGTACTCTCCCTCTCAGTTCCCAAGTTAGCTGTCAATGCTATTATTGTGTTCTGACTCCAAGGTCAGTTTGACAAGGTTCTGTAACATTAGATCTGCTGAACTAATGTACTCAATGGTATACCCACATTATTGCTCTAAGGGGAGCAGTGGCACAGTGGTTAGCACATTCCACTATTAATTCCTATCACGGCCACCATCGGGGACGAATATGTAAACTATTCCTGGGCCTCGCCTAGGTCGACTCAGCCTTAAATAAGTACCAGTGGTGGTGTGTAAACATGGGCACTGGGAGTCAAATGTGGCCCGGCGTGGTCCTGGCCACTAACCACGTCGTGCTGGTTGAAATTGGTGCTGCCAAAGGCTATATGGGGGATCTTCTTTGGTTCTTTCGGTAAAGTCACGTAGAATGAGAATAAAATAATAAAATTGATAAAATAAAATAACACAATAATATTCTCACGACGTTTCGGCCACAACACAAGCGGCCTTCATCAGGTGAAGGGAGCGAGACTGTCTGGTAGGACAGCGCTGGAGTGAGAGAGCCACGTTCAGATCACGGCTTTTAAGCTGTGTGAGAGGAACAAAGAGCCTTAGAGTCGCGGCATCTCTTCAGAAAGGTGAGAGACTCGATTAGTTGAGCCTTCTTATCCCGAAGTCTGTTGAATGATCTTATGGATGTGTGGAATCCCTCCCCGTAGAGGCGGTTAAATTTCGATTTAAAGCTTTCGTGACTGCAATGATTCATCTTCTTTGGTTCTTTCGGTAAAGTCACGTAGAATGAGAATAAAATAATAAAATTGATAAAATAAAATAACACAATAATATTCTCACGACGTTTCGGCCACAACACAAGCGGCCTTCATCAGGTGAAGGGAGCGAGACTGTCTGGTAGGACAGCGCTGGAGTGAGAGAGCCACGTTCAGATCACGGCTTTTAAGCTGTGTGAGAGGAACAAAGAGCCTTAGAGTCGCGGCATCTCTTCAGAAAGGTGAGAGACTCGATTAGTTGAGCCTTCTTATCCCGAAGTCTGTTGAATGATCTTAAGGATGTGTGGAATCCCTCCCCGTAGAGGCGGTTAAATTTCGATTTAAAGCTTTCGTGACTGCAATGATTCATCTTCTTTGGTTCTTTCGGTAAAGTCACGTAGAATGAGAATAAAATAATAAAATTGATAAAATAAAATAACACAATAATATTCTCACGACGTTTCGGCCACAACACAAGCGGCCTTCATCAGGTGAAGGGAGCGAGACTGTCTGGTAGGACAGCGCTGGAGTGAGAGAGCCACGTTCAGATCACGGCTTTTAAGCTGTGTGAGAGGAACAAAGAGCCTTAGAGTCGCGGCATCTCTTCAGAAAGGTGAGAGACTCGATTAGTTGAGCCTTCTTATCCCGAAGTCTGTTGAATGATCTTAAGGATGTGTGGAATCCCTCCCCGTAGAGGCGGTTAAATTTCGATTTAAAGCTTTCGTGACTGCAATGATTCATCTTCTTTGGTTCTTTCGGTAAAGTCACGTAGAATGAGAATAAAATAATAAAATTGATAAAATAAAATAACACAATAATATTCTCACGACGTTTCGGCCACAACACAAGCGGCCTTCATCAGGTGAAGGGAGCGAGACTGTCTGGTAGGACAGCGCTGGAGTGAGAGAGCCACGTTCAGATCACGGCTTTTAAGCTGTGTGAGAGGAACAAAGAGCCTTAGAGTCGCGGCATCTCTTCAGAAAGGTGAGAGACTCGATTAGTTGAGCCTTCTTATCCCGAAGTCTGTTGAATGATCTTAAGGATGTGTGGAATCCCTCCCCGTAGAGGCGGTTAAATTTCGATTTAAAGCTTTCGTGACTGCAATGATTCATCTTCTTTGGTTCTTTCGGTAAAGTCACGTAGAATGAGAATAAAATAATAAAATTGATAAAATAAAATAACACAATAATATTCTCACGACGTTTCGGCCACAACACAAGCGGCCTTCATCAGGTGAAGGGAGCGAGACTGTCTGGTAGGACAGCGCTGGAGTGAGAGAGCCACGTTCAGATCACGGCTTTTAAGCTGTGTGAGAGGAACAAAGAGCCTTAGAGTCGCGGCATCTCTTCAGAAAGGTGAGAGACTCGATTAGTTGAGCCTTCTTATCCCGAAGTCTGTTGAATGATCTTAAGGATGTGTGGAATCCCTCCCCGTAGAGGCGGTTAAATTTCGATTTAAAGCTTTCGTGACTGCAATGATTCATCTTCTTTGGTTCTTTCGGTAAAGTCACGTAGAATGAGAATAAAATAATAAAATTGATAAAATAAAATAACACAATAATATTCTCACGACGTTTCGGCCACAACACAAGCGGCCTTCATCAGGTGAAGGGAGCGAGACTGTCTGGTAGGACAGCGCTGGAGTGAGAGAGCCACGTTCAGATCACGGCTTTTAAGCTGTGTGAGAGGAACAAAGAGCCTTAGAGTCGCGGCATCTCTTCAGAAAGGTGAGAGACTCGATTAGTTGAGCCTTCTTATCCCGAAGTCTGTTGAATGATCTTAAGGATGTGTGGAATCCCTCCCCGTAGAGGCGGTTAAATTTCGATTTAAAGCTTTCGTGACTGCAATGATTCATCTTCTTTGGTTCTTTCGGTAAAGTCACGTAGAATGAGAATAAAATAATAAAATTGATAAAATAAAATAACACAATAATATTCTCACGACGTTTCGGCCACAACACAAGCGGCCTTCATCAGGTGAAGGGAGCGAGACTGTCTGGTAGGACAGCGCTGGAGTGAGAGAGCCACGTTCAGATCACGGCTTTTAAGCTGTGTGAGAGGAACAAAGAGCCTTAGAGTCGCGGCATCTCTTCAGAAAGGTGAGAGACTCGATTAGTTGAGCCTTCTTATCCCGAAGTCTGTTGAATGATCTTAAGGATGTGTGGAATCCCTCCCCGTAGAGGCGGTTAAATTTCGATTTAAAGCTTTCGTGACTGCAATGATTCATCTTCTTTGGTTCTTTCGGTAAAGTCACGTAGAATGAGAATAAAATAATAAAATTGATAAAATAAAATAACACAATAATATTCTCACGACGTTTCGGCCACAACACAAGCGGCCTTCATCAGGTGAAGGGAGCGAGATCATTCAACAGACTTCAGGATAAGAAGGCTCAACTAATCGAGTCTCTCACCTTTCTGAAGAGATGCCGCGACTC